CCTGCATCGGGCTCCCTGCTCAGCAGGAAGCCTGCTTCTCCCACTCCCCCTGCTTGTGTTTCCTTTCTCTCTGTGTCTCTCTCTGTCAAATAAATAAAATTTTTAAAAAAAAAAAAAAAGAAATAACAAATCAGCATGGAGCACTGGGTGTTATACGCAAACAATGAATCATGGAACACTACATCAAAAACTAATGATGTAATGTATGGTAATTAACATAATATAATGAAAAAAAAACCAAAAAAAAAAAAATCAGTTTATTTTAAGAAACATCCTTCTTTGTTTCTGTTCTTCAGGGATTTAATCCCATGGTCTTGATTGAATTACTAAAGGTCCTAAAATTGGCTAGAATGACTCACTTTCCCTTTTTTATGTTTTGAAATGGGTTTGTCTCTAAGACCTTTTCTCTCTTTGCAAAGGGAGGATAATTAGACTTTTATAGTGGTAACTCTTTCCATATCCCTTGCAAGCATCTCCCTTATACATTCCTACTTTTCTTTCTCCCGTTTCTACAAAACTCAATTCACTAATTGATCAAAAACCAATTCTAGTCATTATGGACACACCTTAGAAATATGCAGAGTAAAAAAAAAATACTCAGTCCAGATAAACAGATCTAACACAAAGAGAGGGGAGAAAGGTCAGATTATAAGCTCTAATGGAGCATGTTCTTACTCTAAATAGCTTTTGATTAAACTCTGGGAAAAAAAGTTTTAATTGAGAGTTAAACTAATTGCCTTGGTTACTGGGTTATAAGAAAAAAGAACATTTGGACCTTCCAAACATAATTTAAGAATTTGGTTTATAAATACAGAGGTTTACAAACTGTATTTGAAAAAAAGTCCACATTCTATTTCTATTATGATGCCTTTTTGTACAAATTAGACTGATTTGATAATCTTGGTTTAAAAATTGTCCTGACTTTAATAGTATGTAAGAAATTATACTAGAACCATATTCTAGTTTAATTTTAATCTTCTCAATTTCCTTTCCTGGTTTTGCTACAAGATAGCAAAATTTGTGTTCATCTAAGTCTGAGAATGATGATATGGAATGTGTCTGTGAAAAGAGGCTGATGAGGTCCAAGACATGCTACCCCAAAATATGGCAACTGTTACACTGGATGTTTCAAGCTGAAGGAATTTGAGAAATGGCATGTGTAGGAAGGACTTTCTGATCTTCTCCTTAAGCAGGTCATAAAACCCTCACGTGAGAAGTGCCCTCCCTATGCCTGGAGGAAAGGAGCATTCTTATCTCTGAAGATGAAGGGACTAGAGGAATCTGAATGAACAAGCCTTGCTGTTTCCCTCAGTTTACTACACTTTCCTCATACCCTTTATCCTATTATCTTTTTCCATGACTTTCCACTCATCAAACCTAATATAAAAAGGCTCATGTTTAACATTTCTTCAGGTCTTCGTTTTCTTAGGAAGGCTCTTCTGTCACATAAAACTTATATTAAATAAATGTGTATGTCTTTTCTCTTGCTAATCTGTCTTTTGTTATAGGGGTAACAAAATTTAGAACTTGAGACATTAAAAGGCTTGAGGAAAAAAATATTTTTTCCTCCCCTACAAGATGAATTAGTTTTTTTAAAGATTTATTTATTTATTTTAGAGAGAGAGCAAGAGAGCGAGAGAGCGAGAGCACGCAAGCATAAGCAGGGGGAGAGGAAGAAGGAGAGGGAGAGAGAGAATACAAGCAGACTCCCCACTGGCATGGAGCCCAATGTGGGGTTCAATCTCACAACCCTGAGATCATGACCTGAGCCTAAACCAAGAGTCAGACGCTTAACCAGCTGAGCCACCCAGGTGCCCCAATAAATAAATCTATAAAGAAAAATTGTTTTTAACACCAGCTCATTCAGAACTGTAATTATATATTCACAGAAAGTTATACAAATAGTACAGAGAGGTCTCTGTACCCTTCACCCAGTTTCCCCAATGGTTACATTTTATATAACTATAGAATAATATTAAGACCAGGAAACTGACATTGGTATAAGGTATATGTATACTTCTTTTTCCACCTCAACACATATGTAGATTTCTGTAACCTGCCACCTCAAATCAAGACACAGGACTGTTTCATCACCTCAAAGATATATCCCTCATGCTATCTCTTTATAGTCACATTCTCCGTCCTCTCCATCCCTAACCTATGGGAACACTAATACATTTTCCATCTTTATAATTTTGTCATTTTAAGAATGTTATATAAATGGAATCATATAATGTGTAAACTTTTAAGATTTTTTTTTTCCTCACTCAGCATAATACCATTGAGATCCATCCAGGTTGCTGCATGTAGCAACAGTTCATGTCTTTCTATTGCTGTTTCCAGTTTTGGGTATTACAAATAAGGTAGACCACTTATATTTAATGTAATTATTGATATGTTAGGGCTTACATCTGCCATTTTATATTTTGTTTGTTCTTTTTTGTTGTTTCTTTTTTCCTTTCCTTTTTTTTCCCCCTTCCTCTGGA